TTTTTTTTGTACTAGCTTGTCAGTGTTCAAGAAGTCTTTGAGCACAGAATGTTATGATTTTCGTTATGATTTTATTTCACGTTTTTTTTCGTGAGGTTTCCTTGAGCCTTTATACTTCATAGATCCATTTTGCATGCCTTCGACTTCTTATGTAAGTATAGCGTTTAGCACCCTGTGAAACGATTGGGTTTCCTTATTCAGAACAACTAACAAGTACTATACTCTCAGTCTAAGAGACAAACAGTCATACTTTTTGTATGCTTAATGCATTCCTCTCACAACCTTGGCATAGTAGAACCCTTTCTCAACCCATTCTTGAATTTTGGCTTCTTCTGAGATGCTGCTTTCTAACGTACATTGCATAGTTGAGTCTCTCACAACCGTACACTCGGTATCGCCCTTACAGTGTTTTGAATCCAATTTTTTCTTTTCAGATGTCACTTAGTGCATCTCGACTTGTTCGAGCAGCATGTGGTAGCCGAGTCGCTATCAGAACCATGTACAAAAATCCCTACATTGCGCGATTCAAAGCACGAAGCAAGGTCTCGCCTGATTTTTATAAACAGGTAAGTTTTATTCAAAATGTTCCAGTTTTTGCATTGTTTTTTATAATTATTAATGCTCTGAAAGCTTAGGCCGTTTCACGGTTATTCAAATAGCAACAAGCCTTTTGATTTACTTATCTCCTAGGTCCAAGACATTAACATCTGTTTCTATGCTAATGCGATCCCTCCTTTTACCACTTTCTTCTTTTTTCAAAGCAAATCTTTCTTATATCTGTTTGTGTTCTACAACTGCAGTGTGAGATATAGGCCATATGTTTTCAAGGTTCATATTCATGAAGATTTTAGGAGGTTATCTAAGTTTTATCAATGTTTATTTCGATGGTGCCCCGCCTCAAGATTATTATTTTTCCAGACAACCGGACTAACTGGTCTTTTTGTCAACGAGCATCCTCATCGTACTCTTACTGTGGTGTACTGCCGTATCTTGAAAGCACTGGAACAAATCCCGCCCTCAGCGGCTTATAGGAAGTACACTGAAGCTGTATGTTTCTGTTGATCATAATGTTTTCCATGTTTATCACTCGTATTCTGTAGATTGTGAAGCAACGGCTTGCACTGGTCCAGTCTGAAGACAGCATCCCTGAGCTCGAACAGAAAATTGGAATGGGTCAGATTGAGGAAGTAATTGAGCAGGTGAGCTATGCCTGCTTATATACAGTGCTCCTGAATTGCAGAGTCGTTTGCACCAGCGGC